CTCTGTTTCCATTTTTCCTTTTCTCATATTTTTTCCTTTCCCCTACCCTCCCCCTGCCCCTTCCCCTTCCCCTTCCCCTTTGGACTTTTTCTCTCCGTTTTACATTATCTATTATACCTGGATGGATGGGTCATGAGGCCATAGTCTTAAGTGAAATAAATAGGACGCACACGTGTAAATACCGAATAGTTTCTCTGGTGTGAGAAACTACAAGTGTAAATGAAGACCTTTTAATTTGCCAATAACACTGTGGCTCTTACCTGAGGCAAGTTAGGTACAGGAAGCAATAGAGGAGGAAGCTAAAGGAAATCTGGGAGTCACCCTTCACCACTTACAGAGTCAAAGAAGTAACCTCTTTGTTCTTGAGTTTCTCTGTCCTGCAGCTGAAACAATACTATTGGCTTCCCAGATGGGATAACAGCACGGTGGGGAAAGACACAGCAAGGTAGCACGGTGAGTGCTTTACCGCTGAGGTACTTACGTTCAAATCCTGTCTGTCTAGCTGTGTGACCTCGGGAAGATTCCCTGACCCTTTTGAACCTTGGCTTCCTCATCTTTAAAATGAGGATGATGATACTGCTATCACTGAAATGTTGACTGAGCTGGAGCATTCTTCAGAGCAGGGATGGCGAACCTATGGCACACAGCGCCCTCTGTGGGCATGGGAGCCAAGCTGCCCTAGCCAAGATTTGACAAATGATCAACATGAGAATATCCATTAACAATGCAAGAGTGTGCAAGTACAAAGTAAAAAGCCGTACAATTGAAAGCTCTGTTATCGTGTTTTTCTTTTAAGACAAAAGATGTTACATATGAATTTTTTTTTCTAAACTAAAACCTCAGCATTGGGGTTTCATTGCAGTGTTGGTGCTTTGGGATAAGTAAGTGGGTCCTGAGATGCAGTTTGGCACTAGGTCTTGAAAAGGTTCGCCATCACTGTTTTAAATGTTTAGCTGTTGTGGGAGAATTTTCCATAGCGTCTTGAATTTCTGCACATCTGTGAGCAGCATAGGTGTTGAGGCTGCTGAAGGGCTTTTGTTAGAGAATAGCTTGGGCAGTAGAGATAAGATTCTCCCTGCACAGTACACACCAGTATATAAAGATCAGGCTATGTCATCTGACCTCAAGTCTGCCCAGCAGACTGGTGTCTCCTGTTCATACCCATAAAACTGTGTCTAGCTGGTTTGCCCAGGATGGAGAAGTTTCCCAAAGAATGTTTCTCTTTACTCAAATCAAGAAAGTCTTGGTCAACCTGGGATAAGCTGACTGCAGCAAAACAGAATAAAATCTCAGCACCTTTGCAGTTCTTGAAGTATTTGTTACAGAAGAGACAGTAACCTTTAATTTGTGCTAGTGTTATTAAAGAAAAAGTCTAGCACAGCAGGGCAAGGTGTTCTGAAAATATATGGCATTCTACATATATTAATTATTGTGACAGGCTATATTTAATGGCTGTGGCCAAGCTAGAAACCAGTCTTAAAAGTGAAATAATGAAATAGCTTATGATGAACATAGAATTTAAATATCGAATGGGGATTAAAACTACATATACAATATCTTCTACGTCAGGACAACTTTTTCACTGCTGTATTTCTGAAGTTTTACCATTTTAGGGTGGGTGCATCCATGCTGTTTTTGGGATCTTCTGAGTGCTTGTCCAACTTGACAGCTCCTCTGCATCCCCGTGGGCACCACGGCGGCTCCCTCTCCACTAGGGGGCGCCTGCTGCACAAGCGGGAAGCTCATAGCAATGACAGTTGGTACCAAAGTCAAGTTTTTAATCATGCGTAATTTCTGGGGACTCTTACTGGCACTTCTTGTCCTAACTGACCTCACTAACTTGTATGGATCAGATTGAAAAATTCCAAACCTAGTGCTCTAAGATAATATTTAAATGCATAGAAGTTAAAAATGGTAAATGCAAAGAAGTAGGTATGAGGTAAAGGAAAACTACTGAAAGGATTTCGCCTTTAAAAGAGTTCTAACAACAGTGCTCCTCCCCTTATTTTAATAAGCAAAATCAGTTCTATTGTTCATAAAAAAGGAACTGGCTACTGTAGTCTGGTTTGTAGTTAAAGCAAATCACCTGGCTTCCTGTTGTGTGGAATTCACATTTCCACTGTGAATGAAGGCAGCCCAGACCTAAGGTAGTTCAAATATTGAACTTGAGGTATTGAACTTTTTCAAAATAGGCACGATCGGAGCAGTCCAGATCAGTAATGGAGAACTTTTCAGAGACGAGCATCCAGACTCCAGCCCCAAACCCTCTTATTTATCACAAAGTGGCAACACTGCAAGTAAACCCGAATACTGAGGTTTTAATTTAGAAACCTCCCCAAACATATGTGATAATCAGGCGGCGGCTGACTTGGCTTTCGCTCAAAGGATCCTGTGCGGCCACTGTGACCACCCATTCGCCACCAGTGGTCCAGGACCACGATTTCCTCAGCTCACAGATCTAAGAGTGGACGAAGGTGGCCTCGCCACAGTCTCTGCTTGCTCCTTGGTGACCGTGCGTTTCTGCATCAGTGGGCTGCACCCACATAGCCTATCTCTGGAGTTTGTCACCTCGCATTTTACAGATGGGGAAACCGAGGCTCAGCGAAACCACGCGTGAGGATCACAGAGCCCACCTCCAACGTGGGCTTGGTGATGTTTGTGAAGATGACATCACTTCCTGTTAGTCTTCTCTAAGCGTATTTAAGCCTGGCCTTTGTGAGCCAGGTCAGCTGATATGTACAGTAGCGAGTGCATGTGGCTTTGACTGTCTGTTAACAGCACGGTTATGTGCACTGTCTCAGTCCTGTCAGGTCACGACCGTTCCTTACTTACTTACGTTGCTCTTTAGTAGATCACGGATCACCTGAGTTTGGTCTCCGTTCAGCAAAAACAGGAGCTGGAGAGTCTGGGGTATGATTTTCTTTTTTTTTTCCTCATTGAGTTTATTGGTACATTTTAGGGATACAGTACAGTTACATTCATTCTTGGGATCTTGTACCTCTACATGACAGGTCTTGGTTCTTATTTTTTCCCCTTGTCCCTGCCCTCCCTTCACCCGCTCCTCGCCTCCCCATTGGGGTATGATTTTCTTCTGTGTGAGATTTGTTGCTTCTTCAGAGTTTGAAACTGTGTGCTAAATGAGGTTTGAAGTATTTTGGTTTTAGCAAAAGTGGTTAGTTTGCAGAGACTTTTTAAAAGCAAAAATCCGGCTTTGAGGTAATTGATGCGAATGGTTTAATTAAAACGTTTGTGGCACCATGGAAGAATTCCTACTGCTGTACACACTCCACAGACCAGGCCGAGGAGGTCGTGAGACACCTGCCTGCTGTTCTAGGACTGGGATTTCAGCCAGGACATCAGTTCAGGGCCACACTTAGTCACTCAGTGCAAGAAGAAACTGGAAACTCCACTTGTGGCATGAAATCGGGTGAGAAGAACTCATCCTAGTCTCAGGACTTAATGTGAAAGGCAAAGTTCAAGTTCACTCACCCATAGGAAGAAAGCAAATGTCGAAAACAGAAGATAAAGCCGGGCACGGTGGCGCACACCTGTAATCCCAGCACTCTGGGAGGCTGAGGCGGGAGGACTGCAAGTTTGAGCCCAGCCAGGGTGACTGAGTGATTTAGGAAAACCCCATCTCAACATTTAAAAAAAGTTGTTTTGAAGGGATGAAGATGTAGCTCAGTGCAAAGGTTCTGAGTTTAATCCTCAAGCCAAAACAAAGAAAAGATAAAGAAGTAAAATCTTATCATTCTGGCAGAAAAGTGACCCAATCATGAACAAGTGTGACAATATAGCTATAAATAGAAATATAGACTGTAAAAGATAACAGGTTTCAACCATGGTTACCATTTTTATAATTACAGGTGTCTTTTCCTCTCAATTTATGTTCGACTCCGTTAGTGGAAAGCTGTCAGGACGAGTATCTGAGCTGTGTCCTTTCCTACCTCGGGCTTTCTGGGATGCTGTAATGCGACATCACCCTTAGGATCCTTACAGAGCTGTGCGTCTGACAGAATGCTTAGAAACACATCTTACAGCCTTCTATGATTTTTTTTTTTTTTTTTTTTT